TTATTATTATTATTATTATTATTATTATTATTATTATTATTATTCCAATGCAGATGAGTGAGGTGGCGTCTTAATGAAAGTATAGTGACGACTGAAAGCGATCACGTTTCAGCAGCAGAATAAAACAGACGCTGAATGTCCTGTTAGGCTCCCTCTGGGTGAAAATAGAAAGTCCCAAGATTAAGTGCTAGTCATCGTTTTGTTACCATGACGACGGGACGGCCCACATCCAGGATCCAGTTCTGGAAGGTGAAGCTGAGCCAGAGGTCTAGGTGGAAGCGAGGCCTCGGCAGAAGCGCCTCCACCTGCGTGGAAGCGGCCGAGTGGCTGCGGGACACAGAGACGAGCGGAGGAACGTAAACGCACCGTTAACACAGAAAAAACATAGAAGCAGCTGAAACAGGAAGACGGGAAAATGGGAGCTCGGGTGATTGCAAAAGGTGAACAATGTCTCCAGCCTTCACAGGTTACGGACGTCAGGTCTGAAACAACAGCACAGAGAGGCTGCAGTGGACTCTGTCAGAATAAAGCCACTGACTCTCAGACGTATACGAGCTTATACTGACTATGAATAAAAAGAGCTTGTCTTCCATTGAAGTTAAATTGATATTCAGACCTGTCTGCTCTCACAGAGCCCTCGTCTGTGCGCAGACGCTGGACTGATCTCAGGAGCTGAGTTATGGATGTGGAGCGGGCTCCTGAGGTAAACTGGTCCTGGATGAGGGCCCAGAGGGCCACACAGAAGAAATTAAGTGCCCTGACCCTGGAGCCAGGACTGGGGAGGAGGGGCCACCTTTCTCTGGGCCAGGGGTGTCAAACAAAAGGTCTGGGGGCCAGAAGTGGCCCAGCAAAGACCCAAATCTGGTCAAATGAACAGCTCTGGATGTGTTAAAGCAGACGTAGGTGTTGGTTTTAAACATTTTTTATAAGTTTCACAGAAACAGAAAATCAACTAACAGAAGTTCCTGTTTTTTCACATGCCTCATCATGAGGCACAGTTAAAAATGTAGTTTATTTCTTACACATTTGCTGATTCATTTCATTTACTACAGCAGCGTTTCTTTATCATGAGGTGTTTTCATGAAAGTCGGACTAACAGGAGGCCCTGAGCTGAATCTGGATACTTTTATGTGCCCTGAGGAGAACTCAAGGACGAATAGATGGATGGAAGGATGGATGGCACAGTTTAGAGGTTAAATTTTCATTTAATGAATAAATTAGTAAATAAAAATTAGATTTTTCTGTAGAGACGTCTGTAGATGTCTTTTAATCATTGGTCCAAAGCTGTGACATTGATTAAAGGTGAATAACTGATTATGGGTGGGAATTATGAGAAACTGCACAAACCTGCACATGAAAGCTGCTGCACGCAGAGCTGGGTTCTCTCTCTTCCTCGTCTTCGTGTCTGTCTGTAAAGTCATATTCTCTGCGTTATTGTCCTTTTCATTCCCACCGAGGCGTCAGTCCCACAGCGAGCACCGGTGCTCCAGAAACACTTTCTCTTCATATGAAATAAATCAAAGCAAATGATTTCACCAGCACAAACACAGAGCTTCTACAGGAAGTCCATCCAGCAGGTTAATCTGTCAGCAGATTAGCATTAATCTGCACAAACCCCCCTCCCAGTTTTTATTAGATTAATCTGGTTTAGATGAGCTGATCTCAGAGCTTATGGTCCTGGAGTTCAGTGTAAAGAGATAAAAACCTCAAAAACATGTTTTCATTTTACTGAAAAGGAAAAAATGAACCTGCAGCATCTGACTGAGCAGAGCTCAGACTGAGCTTGCTCTGCTGAAAATCAGCACTTTGTAGTTTGAACTACTTTCTCAAAGTCAGGTGACATCAGGCTGACTGGGAATGTATCAGGGAATGTACAGAACATAACACATTGATGGCCTCTCAAGAAAAACACCACACTCACACTTTAATAAGTGTTAGAGAAAAAAACTGTATGGCAATTAATAAGAAAGAAATTGAAAGCTCACAGGAAAGAAATTGATTAATGAAACATATCAAAAATTAATAATATAAAAATTGCAAATTTAAAAATAAGCAAAAGAAAAACCGGAAGATTTTCTTTTTAAAAATGTAAAAAAAAAAAAAATAAATAATAATAATAATAATAATAACAAAAAATTATAGGCAATTTAAAAAACAAACTGCCAAATATATGAAATATTTAGACAAATTTCAAAATAATCTGAAGTTTGGGAAATTACTGGCAAAAAAATATCTATATATTTAATTTTTTATTTTTTATCTTAATTTAAAATTCAAGTTAAAGTCATTATTTTATACTAAACCAATTCAGATTATCATGACGGTTTTTGTTTTGATGAGCAGGTGCAGTAATTAACCCGGACCAGACGGTGGCGCTGCAGTGCGGGCTCTCTCGCGGTGAGCAGCAGAAGAAGAGGCGGGAACAGAAGTTGCTGGACAACGTTCCTGTCGGAGGTGTTTTAAAGCGGAAACTTCCGTGAACGCTGAAATCAGCTGTTTGTTTCTGAGTGTTTGACGCTCCGGGACGTCGTTTTTATTTTCAGCAACAACAGGAGGTGTCATTTATCCGACCTTTGACCTCAGACACGCTTTGGAAGCCGCTCGCTGACGTTAGCAGTTAGCCGTCGGAGCTAACCGGTCCACTCGCTCTGCTGCCGCCCGGAGACGCACACCCTGAGTCCAGTGCTTATAGTCAAACCAGCCGGGACCTCTGAACGTTTCCTCCGGGGCTGTAGGTAGGACAGAGCTGTTTCATGTCACCCCCGGGGCCGGTGTGGACTCTTTAATGGGAGGCGGGTCGCTCCGGGGGAGTGGACGCTGTCAGTTTGGAAGAACGCGGAGCTCCTGGCTTCCTCTCGGGCTCTCATGGAGTCTCTGGCCGGGTATGTGTACAAGGCTGCCAGCGAGGGCCGAGTCCTGACCCTGGCCGCGCTGCTGCTGAACCACTCCGAGGCGGAGACGCAGTTCCTGCTGAGCTACGTGACCCACCTGAGCGGCCAGAGGTCCACCCCGCTGATCATCGCGGCGCGGAACGGCCACGACAAGGTGGTCCGGCTCCTCCTGGACCACTACAAGGTGGACACCGAGCAGACCGGCACGGTTCGGTTTGACGGGTACGAGCTCACCCGAGGCTACCTGCGCTCCACAGCCAGGTTTATTACTCAGATATCACCAGTGTGATGAAGTCAGGCAGGACAAAGGTCACGCAAAACTCAAAGTATTTGTTAAAAGAAAAAGTAGTTTGACTGGTCCTCACCTGCTAACCTGCTGCACCAGCTTCTGTCTACAGCATCTTTCATATAGTGCCCTAAATAAGTGTCAATCAAACTAATCTTGGGAAATGAATAAACTTAACAGAAGTTAACAGAAACAAAACTGGTGCATTTCTGAAAAAAGGGTCAGAGGTTAAAATGGAAAAAAGTCTGACATGATGACGGAGAAATGATAAGACATATTTGTTGGAAACAGTTTTAGAGGATGTTTAAAAAGGACAATTATTACATTTTACAGCTGTTAGCTGCAGTTAGTCGGCATTAGTGAAACTGAAATGGATCTATCGTTGTTGGAGGAGGAGGAGAGAAGGATGATGAAGGCGTATAAAAGTCATAGTATGGTCTGACAGTGTTTGTGGTGTTTGGGTATAAGTCGTACTCTGTGCGTCTCTGATCACATACATAAAATGTGATCAGGTGAAAAGACGATTTCCATCTCAGCCACTGTATTCCACTTCCACACACTGTGAACCATATATACCGTATACTTTAATGGATTAATTCTAAGTTGATGCAAACACATCAAGAGGATATATATGAATACTATAATCTGGTTTCTATCAAATACACTAAAAAGTGAGGTACTGTATGTTTATATAAGCGATCTGTTTCCCTGCAGCGAGTTCTTCCTGTAAACGTGCTGTTAAATGTTCTTCAGTGCTGTGATGAGGCTGAAGGCTCGATTAAGTAATCAGAGCACCTTTGAAGTGATAAGAGAATCCGGATCACGGGGAAAGATCAGGTTTCAGTTTCACTTTAAAGGCATTGAAACCAAAAGTTTCATTCAGCGGCTCTTTACCTCAGCAGAAGGTGTTTGCTTTTTAAATTATTGCTCGTTTAATGAGCAGTTTGTTAGGAAACAGATGAGCAGCCTGAGGGGTCGACGTGCCGCAGGTCTGCTGCCGCTATCCAAACGTGACGGTTCAAAGGTTCGACAGATGTATTCAAAGTCATCAACGTCACAGTCAGTCCCGCTGTGAGCTCTCTGCAGTGAAGGAAGAGGGCGCGCTTGATTCATAACACCACACAAAAGGAGCTTGAGATTGTTCTGTTTTCATGAGTTTTAGTAAACGGACACTGAGACCTGCTCTACGTAAACGGCTTTTATTTAGAAAACCCTGACTGGGTGAAGGACAGAAATCCTGAAAACTACAATTGAACCAACAGTTGAATCAGTTTCTATTGTTCTTGTCGTTTCTATCGTTGTTGTTTAAATCGTGACCATTTAACCACGTTAACGTTTGTTGTCTCTGGCCTGCAGCTACGTCATCGACGGTGCCACGGCGCTGTGGTGTGCAGCCGGCGCCGGACACTTCGAGGTGGTGCGTCTTCTGGTGAGTCACCGCGCCAACGTCAACCACACCACCATCACAAACTCCACCCCCCTGCGAGCCGCCTGCTTCGACGGGCGTCTGGACATCGTTCGCTACCTGGTGGAGCACGACGCCGACATCAGCATCACCAACAAGTTCAACAACACCTGTCTGATGATTGCCGCCTACAAAGGCCACACGGAGGTGGTGAGGTTCCTGTTGGAGAAGGGGGCGGACCCCAACGCCAAGGCCCACTGCGGCGCCACCGCGCTGCACTTTGCGGCTGAGGCGGGACATCTGGACATTGTCAAAGAGCTGACGCAATGCCAGGCGTCCATGGTGGTGAACGGGCACGGCATGACGCCGCTGAAAGTGGCGGCGGAGAGCTGCAAGGCTGACGTGGTGGAGCTGCTGCTGGCGCACGCCGACTGCGACCCTCACAGCCGCGTCGAGGCCCTGGAGCTGCTGGGCGCCTCGTTCGCCAACGACAGGGAGAACTACGACATACAGAGGACGTACCACTACCTCCACGCGGCCATGATGGAGCGCTACCGCGATCCGGACAACCTCATCACCAAGGAGCTGTTCCCCGCCGTCGAGGCGTACGGAGGGCGCCGCGAGTGTCAAACGCTGCAGGACCTGGAGGCCATCAGGGTGGACCGCGACGCCCTGCACATGGAGGGACTGATGATCCGAGAGCGGATCCTGGGCTCGGACAATATCGACGTGTCGCATCCGATAATCTACCGCGGCGCCGTCTACGCCGACAACATGGAGTTTGAACAGTGCATCAAGCTGTGGCTGCACGCCCTCCGCCTGCGGCAGAGAGGAAACCGCAACACGCACAAGGACCTGCTGCGCTTCGCCCAGGTGTTCTCGCAGATGGTCCACCTGAAGGAGCACGTGTCGGCCGCCGCCGTCGAGCAGGTGCTGCGTTGCAGCGTTCTGGAGATCCAGCGCAGCATGGTGCGCGTGGAGGCCGCCGCTGAATCGGAGCTGCCGCAGGCCATGGAGAACTACGAGTCCAACGTCTTCACCTTCCTGTACCTGGCGTGCATCTCCACTAAAACCACCTGCAGCGACGCGGAGCGCGCCGCCATCAACAAGCACATCTACGACCTGATCCAGCTAGATCCGCGGTCACGCGAGGGCTCCTCGCTGCTCCACCTCGCCATCAGCTCCACCACGCCGGTGGACGACTTCCACACCAACGATGTGTGCAGCTTCCCCAACGCACAGGTCACCAAGCTGCTGATCGACTGCGGCGCGCAGGTCAACGCCATCGACAACGAGGGCAACACGCCGCTGCACGTCATCGTCCAGTACAACCGGCCCATCAGCGACTTCCTCACGCTGCACGCCATCATCATCAACCTAGTGGAGGCCGGCGCGCACACGGATATGACCAACAAGCAGAACAAGACGCCGCTGGACAAGAGCACGACGGGCGTGTCCGAGATCCTGCTGAAGACGCAGATGAAGATGAGCCTCAAGTGCCTGGCGGCGCGCGCCGTCCGGCAGCACCAGATCACGTATCGCAACCAGATCCCCAAAACGCTCGAGGAGTTCGTGGAGTTCCACTGACGCCGGTTTTTAAAAACGTTTTTCTAACAGTTCACGCGGTGCTGAGGTCGACGTTTTTATATTAAAAAAAATCTTTTTTTCTTTTTGGCGGCGCCGGGCAGCTTCCTGTTTTGCCTTACCTCTCTGCCAGGAAGCTGCCGCGTATGTCGCCGCGATTGTGTAAGAAGAAATGATCGGACCGAAGGAACGAGTGCCTGAAGAGACGCCAGACGACCGAGCTCAACCACCAATCAGCCGCCACGCAGAGGATTATTTTTTAATTGGAGAGATTTTTATCGGGTGTTCCTGGCTGTGGGCGGCGATCCAAACGCTTCATCACATTTGAGTTAAACTTTCTTCTGCCTCTAAAGAAACTGTGCGGACACTCCTGCTCTGAATCCTTCCTCGCCCTTTTATTTATAGTTGTGGGTATTTATTTGGGCGTTCAGCGTCTTTCTCATCAGCTGTGTCGGGTTTTGTTTTGTTTCTGATAAAATAACTGCAAACGAGCTGCTCTGACTTCCTCTCTGAGAAACTCTAAGAAAGAAACAGCATAAAAAAATAAAGTTTAGTGTTGAAATCGAGGGATAGAAAGAAAACAGCCGACCTTCACTCGGAGTTTCATCAGATTTGTCTGAATGCAGATTTTATGTCCTAATAAAGTTTTTTTTAGTTAAAGGATAAGTGCCAAAAAGCCGCTGAGGGTCAAACTGAGAGTCTTGAAGCCCAGATTCAGTTGAAGTGTTCAAACCGACGTCTCTCCTGCTGTGTTGGAATCAGCAGGAGAGACGTTTTGATGCCATAACTCTACGTTTTATTTTATTCTAACTTTTGACAGGATGTGAAAAGTGAGCCACAAAAGCCTCGTCAGTCGGTCTCTTACGGTTTAGATAACGAGCACATCTCGAACTCGCCGTGATGGATGTTTCTCCACGCTGACTCTTGGGAAGCTGCGAGCGTTTCGGGGGCGGGGGCGGGGGACTCGACTGCCAGAGGCCTCCCGACCGACACGTGGGGAGCTGGTGCGGCGTCACCTGGGCGTCAATGACCATATCTGCGTCACCCTTGCACACTCGCAGACTTGAAAATTGACCGAGGCGTTGGGGATCTGCAGAATCGCCCGTGGCGTTTACTGTAATGTTTTGGCGTTTGTTGAAAGCCTCCCGTGTTGGCGAACGCCACGCTGCAAGAATCAAAGATTTTAAAACTTAATCTGAAACCAAACGAGGAAAAGAATCAGTTTGAGTGCAGGTTTCAGATTTCTGCATCGGAGGCATCACCTCACCGGGATCAGCAGTGCCTTTAAGGAAAACGTCCGGATAATCCCGACTCATCCAGTCTGATCCGCCGTTTCTGGGTTTAAGTTTTAATACGAGCGTCGTTAAAGTGAATAGTTGAGAAATAAATGGTGATCTTACTCGGTGCTATCGTTTAGCGGCGTGAGACTGGAGTCGGCGGATTAATCCTCCAGGGGGGACGTTAGAGGATGACGGTTTCGATCGATGCTCTGCGGCCGTTTTTGCAACCCCGCCGGAAGGTGAAAAACCAACCCCCCGCCGTTTAATTAACCGAACCCTCCCAAAACCCCCCCGTACTGAAGCTGCCTGTCACTTTAACACCTTTAACCCAAACGTCGCGTTCGTTAACATTTGTGCTCAGCTCGCTGAGCTTCAGATGCTCGCTGAGGCCCGTTTGGTCCAAAGTGAGGATTTGCAGCCAGCAAGACGTTTGAGAGCAAAGCTGTGGACGTTCCAGCAGAGGCCCGCTCATTTTCCGCACAGGTGCCAAATCTCACCTGCTCGCATGTTTATTGCAATAATTCGATGTTCAAATGTAGACCTGAGGTGGGTGTGAGATTTAGAAAAGTTTCCTCCTGTGTTCAACATCAGACGTTATTGTAACAGTTGGGAGGACGGCCAAGCGTTCAGGTTGTTTTACTCTGGGAGCGCTCGCACCTCAACTGACCGTTAAACATCAGGTTTAACAAGCCGATCATGGTGGAAACTTTCTCGAGGCTCTTCTCGGTCCACCGTTTGGCGTCCTGTAATCAGGTGTTGGAGAGCGTTCGCTCTCCTAATAAAACTCCAGCTTTTATTAGCCGTGTGCTCACGGGGCATTAGTCTGAGCCGTCCACACAGCTCGTTCTGTTTAACTCATTTTTAATTTTTTAAAACTATCATTGCAGGAGTGTTTGTGTCCTGGTGGGACCTTTTTTTCATTAAACGCAGGTTTCTGTGGCTGAGATGAAGCCAAAGATGCTCAGATGTCAGCTGATGGGTACTTCCTGCGGGGTGAATGCTGTTAAATTAAAGTCTTCTGTCTGAGCTCAGCTGCTGTGTCCTGTTGTTCATTTCCATCTTTGAAATAGTTCGAGAAAAAAACTAACAAAGTTCAGATGAGTAAAGTGTCCGGGTTCAGGACTGCGGGGTTCCCAGCAACCACCTCAACGTGAGGAGGAGGAGCGGCTGAACTCCGAGCTCTTCAGCCTGTCTGAGGAGGAGCCTCGTGTCTGCGATGGCCGCCTTATGTCTGCCACTGGGGCCAGAGATGGCGCGATATGGCAGCCTCGCCTCTGTCAGTCTGCAGGGCAATTCAATTCAATTCAATTCAATTCAATTCAATTCAATTCAATTTTATTTATATATTTTATTTATATATTTAATTTATGAATTAAAAGTCTGTCT